CTTACACTAATTAAACAATTAATTCAACCATAAATTAATATTTAATTATATTTATTAAAACACTTCATTAATTCAACCAATTTATTATGAATTAATTCAATTGATAAATTACTCATGAATTAATTTTCAATCGATTTTATAACATATTACAGAAATAATATAAGTTACCAATTTATAGAAAATTCGCCTATCATATCATGAAAAATATATGAACTAGTCAAGAAATTTGATAGACATGTATAGATCAAGCTCATATAATTATGGCATAAATTATTTACCGATAAGTTCATCTCATAATTATAAAATAACAAAATACTCATCCAAATAAGTCAAACAAAATAACAAAATACAACACACAAATTCGTTGATTCGAGTTTTTAATTCGAATTAATATGTGACTTTATGTGAGAGCTTTTTACTGTAGTAAAAAAATTAGAAATAATTATTTCTGAGAGCTTTTTATTATAGCAAAACTCGAATCAGTAAAATGAACGGAGCTTAAAAATACAACTAAGTAACAAAGTCTAACAAAATGATAAAATACAACACATCAAACTAAATAACACAGTCCAACCAAATAACAAAGTTCAAAACATCAAACTAAATAACAAAGTCTGACATAACAAACTAAATAACAAAATTCAACACATCAAATTAAATAACATAGTCCATCCAAATAACAAACTCCAACTAAAAAACTTTAATTCCAAACGATAAAGCTAAAAGTATGTTCTAATTGTTCAAAAGTCAAGAGCAACCGAGTTTAAAGCTTGAGCATTCTTTTTCAAGCTAAGATCAACTACTGTGATCTCATCCAAATCCTCAAGTAATGCTTTGTCTTGATCACCTATGTTAACAACAACAAAAAAATATATAATACCAGAAATACTTATAACAATAAAATTAACTGAACTCATTAAGAAAAATAAAAGTCTAAAATACTTTACTATCACTTTCAAATAACCAATCTTTGGTGCAAATAAGTGACTCAACAGTTTCACTCTTAAACGAGCTTTAAAATTAGACGGGTCAATTTCGAGTTGACACTAAATTAATCCTTACTTTTTTTTCCATTTTTTTTACACTAACATGTAAAAAATCGTATCATGTTTGTGTCTAGTTGTCGCGTCTTAACCTGTATTGCTAGCATACCTCCAAGTCATTTCATTTTTGGTCAATTTGTTTGTCAAACTAGAAAGGTAGCTGATAAACTTACTTCAAAGAGAAGTTGAGTGTGCATGCTTCTATCAGAGCACGTCATACGACCCTCTTGAGCAACTGTTGAAATGTTACAAGTTTCTCCTATAAATTATCCATTTTTCACATTCTAACCCTGAATGGAGAACATGATTTTTCTTTCGTTTTAGTTAAAATTCTGAATGATTTTCTTTGGGTTTAAGGTCTTTTGTGCTAATGACTAGTGTTTTTCGAGTTTGCTCTATTCAGACTCGAAGTTCTTCAAAGAAGTTTTTGAGGTGCTGGTTGGATTCAGTGTTCCAAACCTTAGAAACTCCTTAAGAATCTCGTCAGATATTCTCTCATCTACCATACAAGAGTGTTTGAAGTTTCTTGAACTTTTTTCAGAAAACACTTGAATCCCTTTTTGGGGCAACCTAAGTTCGTCACTCGGAGCACAGTTTCAAAATTCTGAAAAGTGTCAAAACTTCGTCCATGTAATCACCTTTGAGAGGCCATTTCATTCATACACTTTTCTTGAGATGCCCTGCTCCGGAGCAACGTACACTTGCCTCTGGGACAACACTGATATGTTATGTTAAAGTCTCATCCAACCTCTCGAGTCTCATCTTCATTAACTGTTTGGCTGCTCTTCTCACTATTCTTCATCTACGTAGTTCTTCCTTTATTAATTTTCAAGTTCTTTAATAATTTTTGTAGGGATGTTTTAGACATTCGGTAATGAAGTGGGTCCTAAAAGCCACTTTTTTTTTTTCTGTTCACTTTGGGCCTAACCACCTCTTCGTATTCGTTAAATGTCCTATCATCATCGTGACTTCAAAGACTACTAAGTACTTCGGTCACATTAAAACTAACTTCGACGAGTCGTATACTTACGCATGTGCACCCTTAATGCTTCACACTATAAGATCTACCTTGCCCCAACATCAAGAGAACGCTAAGATAAGGGGCATGACAATGACACTCATCCCTTTTTGATTGACAAAAAAATATACAATATTTTTATTCCAAATCATATCTAAAGAAAATTACATAAATACTTCTATTAGGTTCTGAAAAAATAGATTTATAAAAGTTTTTATTTTCAACTATCAGATATGTATTATAAACTGTCTATTTTGTATACTTTATTCTGATGTGATTTTCATCAAACTCAACGGTAAAAAACTAACCCTATCAGTAAAGAAATCCAACCAAAAAAACTCTATTCTCCAAAATTTAAAGTAATAGTGTTGATTTTAACTGAATGAAAAATCTTCGTATTAAAAAAAAAGATTACTTTTATAAATACTCTCTGAATTATGTACCTTATTTTAAAGTGCCATTAATTTTTAAAAACAGTTCAAAACACCATCTAATATATAGAAAACAGCTCAAAATTCATCCCTCCATCCACTTTCATCTACAAAACTAAAAGAAAATTTGATGCGGCAATCATTTTACAATTTTAAATTAAATTAAATTAAATAAGAGGAAATTACTTTATTAAAAAAATAACTTAAACAATAAAAATCTAAAAATTTTTAAAAAAAGACTTCTGAAATTATTTTGCAAAACCCAAGAAAAAAAATTAGAAAAACAAAACAATAACAAAACAAAACAAATCCCCCCGAGAAAATAAATTCTCAAAAAAATTTAGAGTCCATTTATTTATTAAAATTTTTAATTTAAGTTAAGATGTAATATTTTATAAATTTTTTTAATTATAATAAAAAAATTAAATATAATTATTTTTAAAAATTTGTTATTAAATAAAACTTAAATTTTAAATTAAAAAAAAAATGAGGGAAGTTTTTATCTTCCCACTGCCCACATCAATACCCAGAAAACAAATCCCCTTCCTCAACGACAAACCAAGCACGCTATGCTTCCAACTTCGGACTTCGGAGGCTCTCTAAAGTGCAATCAAAGGCGTCTAGGCCATTATAAGCAAGGAAATATCTAAATCCCAAATTCACGAATTCAAAACGTCAAAACAATTAGATCTAGATGGCCCTCGATCTCTCTCTATCTCTCCCCTTCTTGCTCTATTGCTCTCATTCCAACCACAAATCAGATCTGAGCACGAGGTTGGCTTCGCTGGCAGGGAGCGGCGGCGGTGCAGGGTCGACTTTGCGCGGGTTGCAGGGTGTTGTAGGGTGGCGATGCGACAGCGTTCGGGGTGTTGGGTTGCGACGGCGAGAACAGGTGGACAAGGGAGATAAATGGTGGTTTAACATTTTTGTATTTGCTTTGTTTGAACGGAGAAGAAGGTTAGAGATGGGGAAGAATGTGTTTTCCAGAGTTGTGGTTCTTTTTTGTTTGTTTTCATGTTATTTAATCTACTTTTTATTTTTGTTTTCTAATTTTTATTTTGCTAGTTTTCCATTTAGTCTTTAAATTTTTTATTTGATTTTTGTACAAAGGTTAAATGGCCTTTTTAATAATAATTAAAGTTTATATTTTAAAATACTTTTATAAATTTTTAATGACACACCATCTCAACAATCAATTAAAATTATACATATAAATAAATAAATAAAATATTTTGAATCATTTTTTATATATTAATAAATGTTTTAAAAAATAAAAAGGTACGTTAAAATATAATACATAATTTTTAAGTATTTATAAAAATAATCTTAAGAAAATAATAAACAAATTATTCTTTGAGAATCTAGTAAAATTATTGAATAGGATTCCTTCAAAAAAAATTATTGAATAGGAGATTTTTATGTATGACTCAATAAAATAAAGGCTTGTTCTTTTGGAGTTTAACTTGAGTATAATTTTTGAGTTGAATTTGAGTTATAATTTGAGTTGAAGTTATAACTTGAGTTTGTGTTTGGTTGTGTACATTTGAGTTATAGTTTGAGATAAGAATTTTTTTGAGTTTGTGTTTGAGTGAGTCAAAACTTGAATTTGTATTTAGATAGTATTTTAATAAAAACTCAATACTGATGGAAAATTTTAATAGGGTATATAGGTGGGGTTTTATTCATTTTTTCGTTGTCAACGCATAGAAAAAAAATCATCTCAATCAGAATTAAAACGAAAAAGTTATAACATTTTTAAGAGTAGAAAAAATACTGTTTATTAATTTGAGTTCGAGTTTCTGAACTCAAATTAAAGGGAAAACTCAAGGGCCTATTCACTTCGCTGATTCGAGTTTGTAATTCAAGTTGAGATGTGATTTTATGTGAGAGCTTTTTACTGTAACAAAAAATTTAGATGTGACTGTTTCTGAGAACTTTTTACTGTAGCGAAACTCAAATTCTAAACTCGAATCGGTGAAGTGAATGGGGCCTTGAACTCGAGTTTTAGTCCTAAACTCGAATTTGAACTCGAGTTCAAACTCAAGTTCAAACTTAAAAGAACATAAACTCGAATAAAGTTGTAATTCGAGTTGTATTTTTTTGAATTTTATACTCAAAAGAATAAGCCCTAAATTACTGGTAAATTTTTATGTCATAAACTTTCTTTTTTGTAATAGTTTTTTAGTTTTTAATGAGCTCCTAAGATCCTATTAATTAAATAAAGGGCATGTTCTTTTGTCTAAAAAACTCAAAAAAAGACAATTCGAGTTTCAACTTTATTCAAATTCACGTTCTTTTAAGTTTCAATTTTATTTAACTTTACTTAACTTTATTCAAGTTATAACTCAAATTCAACTCAAGTTATAACTCAAATTCAACTCAAAAATTATACTCAAGTTACACTCTAAAAGAACAACCCTAAAATTGTTCGGAAACTGTTTTTTTTCCCTGAAAAAAAAGGAAACGTGGTTATTTTATCGTCAGCAAAGCGACATCGTATATGCCATATTCACTGGCCTAAGATGACAGCACACGAGAAGAGGGAAAGCGTAGAGGACAGACACTGTACTCACTACACTTTTGCTCTTCCAAGGAAACCCCCAAAACCAGAAAACCCTAGGGCTTTCGAGAAACGAACGCCATGGAAGGCGAGGACGAGCCCTCGGGAGGACCGATGATCGACGAGGAGATCTACGCCAACGGCATCGGCGCCGGCGAGGAGGAGAAGCGGAGCAGGCCGATCATAAGCGGCGAGCAGCTCGACGTGGAGGCCTACGCGAGCCTCTACACGGGGCGGACGAAGATCACTCGTCTCCTCTTCATCGCCGACCACTGCGGGAACAACCAGGCGATGCAATTGGAGGCGCTTCGCATGGCTTACGACGAGATTAAGAAGGGAGAGAACACGCAGCTCTTCAGGGAGGTTGTTCAGAAGATCGACGGCCGTTTGGGCCCCAACTACACCATGGATTCCGCCTGGTGTGACACCGTCGATCGTAGGGCCGAGCAGAAGAAGGAGAAACTCGAGAACGAACTCAATGCCTACAGAGTACGTTTCTAGGGCTTTCATTTTCTCTCTAATTTTTCTTGGATAATTGTGATTCTTTTCATTTTTAATACTATTTGTTCGCTTTTGGAAATTTCAAGTAATATATAATTATATGCCTGCTTATATGCCGCTTAAATCGCAATTCATGTTGTCGTTTTCTTCTGCTTTTCGTAGTAATTCTGCTATATATGTCATTTATGAAGAATTGAAATCTGACTAGAAAGGCATTCAGTTTGAATTATGGAAGGTGCAGTAATGTCTTGAATTAGAAAAGTGTATGCGTTGAAGCTCCGAATTTCATCATTGGTTGAGTTATGGCTGTGTTGGACTTTGCTCATCTATGATCTTTCTAGAACTTATGCTCTGAATTATGGATTATCGTAATAAGAAATGCTAGTATCACTCTTTTTGTCACTCTCTCTGTATTTGCTGTTTGACACGCGGACTCCACTAAGATGATATATTATTATTTAAATAGAAAATGAGAGTAAAAGAAAGAGTGGTGCTAGGTAATTTATTCTGTTTGTTTTCAGTGAAATATATGTCTCACAGTTCCAAGTTCTGTCTGTTTCATTATGGTTAATTGTTGTTTTGCCCTGAATTCTCATTGCATGTTAAATATTTTATCCAGACAAATCTCATCAAAGAAAGCATAAGGATGGGATATAATGACTTTGGAGACTTTTATTATGCGCATGGTGCCCTAGGGGATGCTTTTAAACATTATGTTCGTACGCGTGACTATTGTACTACATCAAAGCACATAATTCATATGTGCATGAGTGCAATTCTGGTCAGCATTGAGATGGGTCAATTTACTCATGTTACGAGCTATGTCAGCAAAGCAGAACAATTGCCTGATAATAACCTTGACGCAATTACCGCAGCAAAGCTTCGTTGTGCTGCTGGGTTGGCTCACTTGGAGGCTAAAAAGTACAAGCTTGCTGCACGTAAGGTTTGTTAACTTTTTTCCCCCATCACTCCCTATTGTTTTCATTGCAAAAAATGGTTATAAAATAAATTTCAAAAATATGCTATATGATAACACTTGAGGATTGTATATATGAGCGACTCACTTGAATTATGAACTAAAAGTTAATATTAAAGAAGGGTATCACAGATAAATGATTAAATTGTTTAAGTGTTGCCGTTTAGGGATCTATGCAGTTGTGTTTCCATTATGATTTTTTGTCTTTAAATTTTGGGCTTTGGGCGGGAGTTCTTTCTGTTAAACAACATTATAGTGTTGTATGGCTTGTTTACTCTTGAAACCTGATTGTTAAACATGAGGTAGTTGGTAATCTATTTAGCAACAAAATATATACGTGTGTACATATGTAAACACATATGAAAAGGAAGTAGATGAAAACCTTCAGGTTTACACTATCCAGCTTCGAATTTTTTGATTTACTGATTAGAGTTAGAAGATACACAGTTAATTAATTTCTTCCAATTGCTTTTGTTCTTAGTGTCTATTGAAGAGTCCCTTCGGTAAGTGGGTACTACTTCTGAAGATAAAATTGTTGTATTTACTTCTATAGTTTAAGAGGACTGGAGCTACTCCCCATGTTTGCTGATAGAGCTTAGGGTGGATGGCAATTCTTGCCGTCATCTGTTTGTGAAGGAGTGACAATGTTAAAAGTACTTGGGAACTGGAGTGTAAGGTAGTCCTTAGTTGGATGAGGAAACCTTTAAAATTGGAATAGCTTTTAGTTTTCTTCATATTGGCATTCTAAGGCACAGATACGTACATGTTATAAATATATATATTTGTATTAAGCCTTGGATTATCAATTTTTTTCATGGATTATATATTGTGCTTAAGTGTAATGAGTTTACTTTTTGATATTTAGTATCCAATAAGCCTCTGGTGAGACTCACTTATGCTATGAGTGCTTTGCCTTAGTCATAAGATTTGTGACGTGTAAGGGGTGTGGGGTGAAATTGTATCGAGGATTGTGTTTTTCCGTTATGGAATAAAATAAAATAAAAAGAGAATAATGTACAGGGTGGTATATTAGCTAAGGGAAAGTGGGGGTGGGGGTGGGTTGAGGAATTCTGTGTAAAAGTTTGGCGTGTGCCTTAGGAGAGAGTGAGCTTCTCAAAAGCTCACAAATTCTGTCCTCCATTGTATTGCATTGTTTCTGTCATTTGAACCAAGTAAAACAAATTCATATTCATTTTTCTCTCTAATTCTAGATCTTATCAGTATCTCACTCTCTTAACTTTAAGATGAGCACAATTGTCTTGGATGTTCCGTGCTGTATCTCAAAGTAGGTGAAGAAGACTTATTTTTGGGTGAAGAAGACTTGATAGTTTATGAAATCCATTTCCAGCCATTCTGTTTCCATTTTCGTTATTACGAGGCCTGATAAGGTCTGTATGGAAGTCACGCTATATTATGTAAGTTTTGTCACTTCCCCGTAACAATATGCAGTTCTTGGAAACTGGCCCTGAATTGGCGAATCACTACAATGAAATAATTGCACCGCAAGATGTTGCAACATATGGTGGGCTTTGTGCACTGGCAAGTTTTGATCGGACAGAATTGAAGGTATCTGTTACCTTTTCTTCTCTCTCTCTCTCTCCCTTTCTTTTCCCCTGATAATTGTGTTTACAAACATGTTTAATGCACTAGTCGACGTATTTTGCTGATTGAATGAATTTTTTTATGGCAGAACAAAGTTATAGACAATCTTAACTTCAGAAATTTCTTAGAGTTGGTGCCTGAAGTTCGGGAGCTTATCAATGATTTCTACTCAAGGTAAAATGTAGTACAATCTTGTATATTAATTGGCATTAAATGTCTTGATCATTGGACTATTTACTTCAAGGTCGTGCCAACAGGTGAAAATAAGAAATACTGGGCATAAGTAGATAAAGCTGATATATGCTGATTTTTTTAGCATGTGATTTTCTGATATTTGATTAGATCTTTTGAACAATTGTTATAACTTAGGACCATTATCGTTACACAAAGCATGGGTTGATTAGAGATTTTCTTGTATCAGTTTGAATTCTTCCATGTTCATTCAATTTCAAGCAGTTCAATGATAACTTCAATGCCTTGTGGGGTTGGTCTGTTTGGCATGCTTGTTATTTTCTTTGACTAATTTGGTATGAAGACCTGTTAGATTTATGTTTCATTATTTTGGTTCATTGAAAATGCCAACTTTTCCCGTCTTTAATGTAGTCATTATGCATCATGTTTGGATTACCTTGGCAATCTCAAAGCAAACCTGCTGCTTGATATTCATTTACATGACCATGTCGAGACACTATATGATCAAATCCGCAACAAGGCCCTCATCCAGTATACACACCCGTTTGTGTCTGTTGACTTGCGCATAATGGCAAATGCTTTCAAGACAAGCGTTGGAGGGTTAGAGAAAGAGCTTGAAGCTTTGATCACTGACAATCAAATCCAGGTACTGTTAGGACTAGTTTCTCGTCTACCTACTTGTTAATTTAGAACTTTTTTCATGCGCGTGTATTATAATAGGCAAACACATAGAATCTGATTTCTTGGGCCTGTGTATACCATAAAGGGGTTCTCTCATATATCTTGTGTACGATTCTCTTGCAACTGGACAGTATTTGATCCTTGACCAAGTAATTATGTTATACCTAATAGTAAAATCGAGTTGGATCAATTTCTTGCGACATGTCTGGGGTCTAGATGAAGTGAAACTTATATTCAGTTTTACCTTATGCTTAGTGCAATTGTTTATTACTGATATGTCCCCTCAGGCTCGGATCGACTCCCACAACAAGATCTTGTATGCTAGACATGCAGATCAAAGGAATGCGACCTTCCAACGTGTTCTACAGACAGGCAGTGAATTTGACCGAGACGTTAGATCGATGTTACTTAGAGCTAATCTTATCAAGTACGAATTCAATCTTAGGGCCTCAAGGAAACCGTGAATTTAAGTTTCAGCTGCAACAATGTGGTATGAGGTATGAGGTACAAGGCTATCTTTTTGATATGAAAAGGTGATTGGTGATATATTCATGAGCTTAGTCTCCTCATGAAGTCCATTGCTTCTTTGACTATCCAAGATGGATTTTGCACATTCAGGACTGCAGGATAAAGATCAATGCAAGAATTACTGAAATCCAATGGTTGGATATTGGTTTATTTCATCCATTGAAGTTATTCTTCATAGTTTATGTTTAATGCTTTTAGTTTGTTCATATTGTTACTTGCTTTATGTGACTATTGAGGTAATTTGGACGGTGGATAGAATAATGCAGTTAAAATCAAAGACCCTTTGGGGGTTTTGAGTCTTTTGCTCAAGTCTTCTTTCTTTCTTTTTTTTTTTTTTTTTTTTTTTTTTTTTTTTTTTGTTGTCCGTTAAAAGTTCTACGCTTCTGTGTATATATCTTCGGATGTTTGTTTTGCATTTGCATTAGGCATTTTGTTTTTGGTTATCAATCCGTGTAGTCCAATGAATCTCCTTTTCTTCCATTTTTTTTAAAATATTTTCTTACCGGTTAATTAACAGTCTCTCATCCTCCAGAATTGTTTATTTAGTGAGATAATCGCTTCATTGCACTATACGTGATAATTCTTTGCCCCGTTTGATTTGAAGCAAGGAAAAATGAAAGGTAAATTGCATGTTAGGCAAATGAGTTAATAATAAAGCCATTTTTGAACCTTTTTTTTTTTCCTGCTAAAAAAAAATGCTGAACTCTAGCTGAAGTCGAAAAACAAAACAAAAATCTTCCTTCCAATGTCACCCTTTATTTAATTCTGACTCAGTGGTGAAGTCGTCATATATTTTGGTACTGTTAGGACACATAAGGTATATTAAAAGAATATTAGAACGGCATTGTTACTTAAACTTGCTTCGAAAGTGAAATGTCGACATCATGATTTTACCAATATAAGGGATATAGTGGGATTAATTTTGCTTAAAAACTAAACTAGTCAAAAAAAAAAAAAAAAAGAACTAAACAAGTCTTTGGGAGGATAAAATGGAAATGCAAACTCTCCCCACTTCGTGTTAGGTATCCCGGCACTAAGCAGAGTCAAGAGGCGTCCTTGTAATGGATTTGAAGCGGTGAAGCCCCAAACTCCATCTTGATCTTTGCCGGTACTAGATAAGATTATTTTATTTATTAATTTATTGTTCTAGAGTTGGGTAACGTAAGGCAAAGGTCAAAGTTCAAACTATGGACCGTCTTTGACTCTGCCTAGATTTCAAAGGAAAAGAATATTATTAACAACAAACGAAAGTTACACTAAAATAAATAAAAATTCTAGCCTCTCGTTCTAACCGTACCTCGTTGCTCATACAGCCGTACATCACATCCCAAAAATCCCTCCAGCATTCACCCCATATCCCTCACAGCCTCGTACACATCTCTCGTCTAGTACCCTCCAAAATCTCCCTCATTAAAAAAACAAAACAAAAACTAGACAAAAATTTCATTCCAAAAAAAAAAAAAGAAAAGCTAGACAAAAATAATAGAACAAATAAATAAACAACAAAATTAATCGTCCTTTAATAACCCAAAAACTTTATATTATTTATTAATCACCTCGCTTCTTAATTAATTAATAATTCATACATTATTTCATCAATTAATAAAGGGGAAAAAAAAGAAAAGAAAAGGATTAATAAACACACATCTCTCATCTCCACTTCACCGTATTACACTCATCAGACTCCCACTGCAAACCGCGTAGTTGTAGATAGTTGATCTTCCACTTCCAATCCCAACCTCTCTTTCTCTCGCTCTCTCTCTAAAAAAGGCAATTCTCCATCTCTTTCTCTCTCTAAACCAAAAGATCTTTCCGAATTTCGTACTTTACCACTGACATTGAATGCGGATCTAGTCGTGATCGGCGAGATCCGAGAATGGGGCACCTGAACCTGCCGCCTTCGAAGCGGAGCGCGAGGCAGTGGCGGCTGCTGGACCTGGTGACGGCGGCGCTGTTCGCGATCGTGATCCTCTTCTTCCTCTTCGTCTTCACTCCGTTGGGGGACTCGCTGGCGGCGTCGGGGCGGCAGACGCTGCTGATGTCCTCCAACGCC